AAAAAAAAAAAAACATGGCCCCCCTTAGCCCTAACCCCTAAACCCTATGCCACAAGCCCTCCTAAGCCTGAACCTTAAACCCTATACCCCTACCCCTTACCCCAAGCCTAAACCCCAACACTAAACTGTACTGCAGCCACTCCTAGCCCGAAACCGTAAACCCCATACCTGAACCGCCTTAACCACTTAGCTTGAAAACCCCAACCCAAACCACTACTAACCGCTAACTATACAGCAACTCCTTAACCCTTAGCCTTGACCTCAAAGCCTGAACCCTCATGCAGCGGAGGCACGTCCCTCTTCGCAGAACCCACTTCGGCTCAGCCTGCATCCGAGTCTGCAACTGGCTGGCAAACCCCCTCCCAATAAATTTAGGTGGGGTAGGTTTAATGCTTTAATTTCGAGGTGTTTGCACATAGGAAGAACATAAACATAGGTACATCTGTCAAAGAAAACGCATGTCTATTGAAAGTTCCGTCGTGCCAAGGCTGGTTTCGGGCCAGCAGGGACGGCCCATATCATCATATCATCCTCGAGTACGCGTTGCCGAAGTATCTTGAAAAAAAACAGAATACTAGCCTAGAAGACCTTCCCAGGAGCCGCGTCATGCGACTTCTGTTGCAAATGGCCTGCCGAAATGGCCGGCTTACCTACCCCCCCCTTTGGCCATTATTAAGGATGGGCCATCCTGCTTCTCTTTACGGTCGTTTGGTCGGCCCCTTTAAAAAACATCTTCATTAAGGGCAATATGGGCAATCAACGCGCGTTTGCACGTAACATTTCGGGGGACTTGCGCTGAATACATTTCCCGGGGGGGTGCCCAATACGTTCCAGAATACCCTGCCAACAGAACCCCATCGGGGGGTATTCGATACATTTATGGGGGTCCCGCATCAGCCTGCAGTCTCCATCACAAAGGATGCCCACATCCTTTGGCAAAAGAATGCGGCCTGAACAACTGGCGGCATCTGCGCGGAGAAGGCCTCTGCATGCACAACCGCAGAAAGTCCGCAGAAAAAAACTGAGAAAGCTCCACCGGCTCCACCTGCCTTTTCTCGTCGGAGTCTATCACGTACCCAGTGCTTGTCTCGCACCATGCCTTGCCAACTTGCCAGAGCCAAGGTGTGTGTTTGTGTGTTGTGATGCCAAGTCCTATCGGCAAGTCTCGCAGAAGCATGCAGAAGCTGCTCTTTTGTAGTGCCTTTGGATGCGTGCCTCCAGAGGGCCCAGTCTTGGATGGTAGTGCATAGCCTGTCTTGTGGCGAACGGCATCCAGAAGGTGCCTACCATAGCAGAACGGAGCGCTGCTGTGGTTGCTCTGTTGCCCCTACGATAATGACAACCTCCATATCTTGTGGCTTGAAACTGGCAGCCTTGTGCTGCAATGTCCGAATGCCTCTAAAAAGAAGCATAAGAATCTCACAACATCTCACAACATGGAAATGGCCAATGTCCGAGCAAGGCTCATGGCGCCCTTGGGACTGGCCCCATGCTAAGCTCGCTGTCGAGACTTGTGACTTTGCGGAACGGGGCATGCAGGATGCAGTAAAGGCGATCAGCCTGAGATCTCAATGTCATTGAGTCATACATCCACCCCCCTTCGTAGAAAAAAATCCATTGCCAAGAAGCATGCATGGGCAATGCTTGACGAGCAATACCCGTCGAATTGTACGGTGCCCGGCAAGCAAACGAAGCTGTTGCACTGATGTTCCACTCAGAGAGCAGAAGCGGTCAAGGATTGCTGTGCCAGTGCTGCCCTCCCGTGCTGTGGCTCAACAGCTTCTCTGCATGGCTGACATCGCTCCTAGAACACAAAAACAGAGTTGAAACATGCTGCGCAGCAAAGTGGTTAGAATTGTCCAGCGGAGCTTCTGCAACACCTAGAAATGCTTTGAAAATGGAGGACAGGACTCTGACCTCGCTTTGCTGGCTTCCGTGCAGCTTGAATTCTGGAAGATTCCATGGCAAGGCTGCCAGAAGTGATCACGGACACATGTCAGACCGGAACCACCACCCCGTCAGCATCATGCCAGTTAACTGCACAATTGCCTGATTCAAGATGAATTTTGAATACACTCTGCCTCTTTGGAAAGAGGCTTTTCGGACAAAACTGAGATCTGTTGCCCCTGCAGAAGCACTTACATGAACTGGTGTCGAGAGTCTTCTTTTCCTGTGCTGCTACGGAAAAACAACTATCACTTGCACTGAAGCAGGAGCAAGTCGCTCTCACCAGACCCGACAGCCTTCAACGCCGTACATTCATTCAACCCTCTGGCGGGCTCCAATCATTCAAGCTGCCGCTGCTGTGGCACTGCGTGGTACTCGTGGCGTAGCTTTGCAAGAAGCGCCTTCAGCTCGTCACTCCAAATAGTGGGCATTAGGCAGAGGACTCGAATAAAGGACATGTTCTGCAGCACATGTGCCAGCTTCGCCAGGCGTGCATGCGAAATGACAGTACCTGTTGTGGAGTTCAACGCTGCCAAATACCTCTCCAAATGATGCACAAGTTCTGCAGCAGCAGGTGGCATGGATATTGCCTTGTCAGCGAGATAAGGAAGCAACAGCCCCAAGGTGTCCGCTTCACTCAGAGCATGGAATAGCTGGCGCTGTTGCTTGTCCAATTTGGGCACACGCCCTGCATGACCTTCATGGCAGTACTCGCAGGACGCACCATTCCTGCAGGACCCTGCAATTGCCAAGTACACACAAGGTCGGCAACAGAGCTGAGGATGTCCAAGCGTGCCGGGATTCGTCATGGTCCTGCAAAAAACAGACCAATCAAAACAAATATGGATCTGCTCCATATGACTTCTCGGAGCTGCCTGAAGAACACTGCAAGGTAGGAGCTATGACACAAGAGCCGGCTTTGATTCTCCTGTCAGCTTCATCCGTCGCCATCTGGCCCACCTGGCCATTATCCTGTATGGAAGACAACTCACACATACAACTCACGTGCCCATGAAAGCCTCACGGCACAAACACTTTGGCCAAGTGTCGGTATCAGCCTGAGGGAAGCCCAATTCGGCAGCACGCTGAACCAGGCCGGCCACATAATCTGCTTGCTTGCCCGCACTTCCTGCAAAGATGCGCCAGGCACCATCAGCAGCGGCACAAGACTGACTTGCAGATGATGTCATTGATTTCAGATTTTGCGCACGTGTGTCTGTTGACATTGTCATACCGGCTGGTTACCAGACTGAAAGTCTGACCTGCTGTCTGTGATGTCTCTGTCCCATATCCTGTCCTGAGTGTCCGTGCGGAGGAGGGGCACTTCGAGCGCGATCGCGTGATGCAGCTGGCCTTGCAGGCCATACCCAACATGCAGCTAGGAGCTGCACTGCCTCACAATGACCCTGCCTGGTCTGCACCGACAGGAATGTTGATTTCAGAACAAGCTGATTGTTCACGTCGCACATTTGTTGAGGCTGTATCCTACTATCCTACTCTTCTGCCCAGAAAAGCTTGAGCAAAGCTTGCCTTGCCAGAACGTCATATGCAAACGCATCAATTGGCTCAGACTTAATGCAGATTCAGGCGCAACTGAAGGTTGAGGCAGCTACCCAGATTTTGGCTCGCTTGCTCCGCAAGAAGCTCATCTCTGGCCTCATGCGAGGTCAGCACAAACAGAGACTCGCCCTACTCGCCAGACCCGCCCTCACTGTTTTGCCGCTCTGCCTCTAGCACATTTCGTATCCGTGGAATGGCCGCATGCTGAAGACTCCTGTCTTCACATCTTACGGTGCAAGTTGCCAACGCAGGGTTCACAACACATGTGCGGTCCCGGAGCTGGACTGCGCATAGAGCGAGTTCAGTGCGACGATCTCAGCCGCTCGCCTACAGCCACACCACTTCACGGCTTTGCCGGCTTTGCGTCAAGGTGGCAAAATTCATGGCAACTTGGCCTGCGCAGGTCCAGCTTGTTCCCAACTGCAGGCCTGCCTTTTTCATCCAGCCTTTACAGCAGGAAGGCTGAAGAGAGCCAGCAGCTTGAAGCAATCTTTTGTCTTGCTTGGTAGCCCCACGAATGTCGTTGCGCAGCAGACTTTGAGAGGGCTGCCCTAGCAGAGACAGTGATTTGCATTTAGACATCTTTGGAACAGCAGCCAAGCTCCGTTACGCAGGCGCTGGCTACAGGCTTCAAGCTGGTACAATTGGTCCGTAGTTTGGCCCTTCCCAACTCCTGAATTTGGTAGCCCAGCTGAACAGTATCACCAAACCTCCCTTTCCCTTCCTCAAAGCTTGGACGCGATGTTCAGGTCTTGCTGATGCTGGACATCTCCAGTACTTGAGCACAAAAAGAAGAAAAATGAAGACAACTGCCAGGCATGATGATACAGAATAGCGATGCGACACAATAACCATACAAGCGTGGCGAACACTCCAGCACTACAGGAGTTGGGAGGCTTGATGCAACCATCAAGCATGATACATGACCATGCCTGGGTGGTGAACGGGAGGTTCAGTGCAAACACCAGCGCAATGGCACTCGTACTATGACTCTGCAAGGGTACGGAAAACAGAGGGGCTTCGTGCAAGCACCCAGCATGTAGTTACCCGTACAATGGCCACAGAAGGGTAGTGAACACAGCCGAGGGAGTAGAGAGGTTCAATACAACAATCAAGCATGACGATCTTCGCACAATGATCATGCAATTGTACACAAAAGTACAGGAGGATGAGGAAAAGGAGGAGGAGGAGGAGCGAGCTTCGCTGCACCCACCAAGCATGAAGGGCTTCCTACCAGGGCCAAACAAAGCTAGTGGGGGGAGTAAACGCAAGTAAGTCAACCAACCCACGAGCGAATGTTTGAGTTCATGGCATCTTCATCCTGCCATAGAATCAACAGCTCGCTGCTTCCCAGCCCTTGCCTGCACGCATGACGTGAAACCAAAAGCAACTGAAGTCTAGCTATGCTTCTTTCGCGAGAAGTAGCAAGACGTAAGTTACAAGTGCAGCATAACAAGCGAATGTGAGGGGCAACAAAAGCAGCACCACCAAGGTAGCCCTGAGTATATGCAGTAGAAGGACATTTGCAGTACAGTCATAACGACAACAGCAGCCAAAAAGCACCAAAAGAAGGCAGTACGCTTCATAGCTAGCGCCCAAAGAGCCAATTAAGCACTTCGAAAAGTCCTGGAATATGTTGGAATGCTGCTTGTTTTAACAAACTAGTAAGGCTGTGGAATATACAGGCCACTGAGAGCTGTGTTAACTTAAGACAAGATCTAATGCATGAAATCCGAGCTCCTGATTCATGAAACCTTCTAGCTAGATATAGAAAATGGGCCAGGTTAAATGGTGAAAGACTAGATTTTGTGGCTTGAAACCTCCCGAAATTGAATGTGGGAATTGCAGCCCCTGAAATCAAGAGCTGAGCTTAGGCGTTTTACGCGACAGTAATGGCCCTAATGCCTGGAACAAAACCTGCGACATGGCAAATGCACGGCAATACGGCGTCGTTCCAGCTGAGCAGTCACGCAAACCGGCTGCAAGCCCCCCGTGGCAGGAAACAAGTCCCTGGAGGCGATGGCCGCATCACCACTCATGTCTCGCCACATTGACAACAGCCAACCAACCTCTAAGCACGGTGGTTCCACGAGCTACTGACTGTAGGCCCTTGTGGAAACTACGCTGACAATAATAGAAGCGCTGTCCTCTTTCCAGCTGCGGTCTTGGTGCACTCCAGCCGCGTGCATGAGCGTTGACATTCCTTCCCTAAGGTACATAGCGACAGCATCCCCAGAGTTATCAAGCTTAGACAAAATCACATACGCATAAACGGGGACCTGCGTGGCCACCAACCTCTTGAAGGCGCACACCTGCGATAGCAGCTCAGCTGCTTGCCCCTGCAAATAAGGAAGCAAACCGGTCGAGCTTGTCCCCTCCACGCTGCGTTGCATTCTTTTCCCCCCCCACACTTGCCAAAGACGGCAGCACATGCGTAGGCCGTTGACCGAACCGCCGATGACCGCGTTTCCCGGGTTTCCCAATAAGAACAGGAGCAAATACAGCGCTTGACTGCCCCTGTCATTGCCTGCCGAATCAGCTGGCCGAATGAGCACAATGACTTCAGGACCGCTCGTCCAACTCATCTTTTTCAAGTTCCTGACGTAGCAAAGCTGCAAGGTCTTCGAGACGGGCCAGACAGCGTCACAAGACGAGCCCCATTCCAGCGTTTAGCCAGTGCCAACAGGGAAGGGAAATCTTACAGCAGGTCCCCGATGTCTATGGCTCACAACACTCAGAGTCACATGCGACCAGACCTAGCCAAGTGGCCGTCTACCTTGGGCAGAGTTGGGACCACTATCTTCGACTTTGCGCACAACAATAACTAAACCATGACATTCCAACGTGAGACGCTTCAAGTGCTACGCTTCGCTCCGCGCAGCCCACAGTGCAAGCAAAATAGCACGAAATGAAACTTCTGCCAACATGTGGGGGGACCTACGAAAGCAACAAGCAGAACACGCCGAGCATACGATCTACATCTTGAGGCGGAGGGGCTTGGAGGCATGACAGGCACGCTGCTGCATGTGTGTTTGCTTGCATTGTGCACATTTGCTTTTGCGTGTTTCATTTTGTTTTTGGCATGTAATGCGTGAGATGTGAATTGCGCGACTCCGAAAGTTGTGTCTGAATGTGGCTTGCAGAGAAACAGAGATTGAGGTGCTACGACTACGAAGCAATGATGACGTCTATCTCATCGTCTTAGGCCCCAGCAGCTCTGGCATGCTTTGTTGGCTGGTTACCATGCCTGCTCGGGATGTTAGAGTCTGCTACAGTTGGCTGCAGGGCTGCAGGGCAATGATGTCCTGGCCTCAAATGCACTGATGCATGGCCATGCAAACGACCTTGGGTCACCATAAGGTTTGGTCAAGCTTTGCTGCAAACACTCACAGGCATCGCAGCTCCTGCGTCTCCAGCCTTCTGATGCTCTCAGCTTCGCTGAGTTTTCCAGGTAGTGATCTGCTTGAGCAGGGCACAGCGGAAGTTCAACAGCCAACACCCGCTCCACTTCGCATGTGAAGAATGGGTTTGCGCATCATACGGATTATACGCAGCAAGTGATGCGCGCGACTCATCATCATTTTCGGCAATGTCTCGGGATGCGCGCATAGCAGCTGCGCTAGAGAGCAAGGGCTGTCGGGATCTGCCCGAAATTTCATTGGCACAGTCGCCAGTTCGCCATCCAAAAATATTCCGGTATCCATCTAAGGTTGACGAGCTGGAACGTATGTGCCATCTGCCCTTTCGCTAGATGTGGGAAGCTGTCAAAATGCTAAGCATTCAGAGTCTTTGCACCATCCCCTCTATCTATCTGCAGCAGTAGGGCCTTAAAAAGAGACCCTAGTTTCGACACACACCCACGTGAAACCATGCTTTGGCGAATAAACACGGAACACTCGCCATCATGACGCCATGCTCTGACACGGCAGATGCATTCATCAAACAAAAGGCTCCGAAGAAATTGGATCAGAACAAGGTAGCGGATCCAACCTAGGAATTGGCTGCACCATTCTGCCCTGGGCTACAGCGAGCGCTTCTCTCTGCAGTCAACCTCCACCTTGCATCAACTGGTGGAGTGCCAGAAATCATGGCTTGTGACTTGGAACCATGATGAGTTTGTGCCTTTCTCCCATCCACGAACATGGACAGACAGATGGCAAAGGTGTCGCGCTCCTGCAGGCCGCACTTGAGCTGAAAAAATGATTCAGCCACCTCATGCCGCAGTCGTGTACCTTCTTCCTAGTTCAGTGCAATACACATGACCTCCAAGTCTCGGAACTCCAGGACGACGGACGGACCATAGCCTTGTCAAAGAGAAGTTCGCTCAAGGGACGTTCAGAATTCAGTTTAGTGACCCTTTTCGTGGCTCGACTGCTCTGCGAGTTCTGCTGCATCTCGTACCAAGCTGCTAACTCTACGACAGCTATCATCAGCCTTGAAGGACCCCTCTCCCTTCACCAAAGCTTGCATTGTCGCGCAGCCTTCATCCAGGAAAAGGGTGACAGAGCGCTCTGTTGCGCTGAGCCGGCCCTGTCACTGTTCATGGATCTGATTCAGGATATGTCTAGATCCAGCTGAGACACCTCAAGTTTTTTGTAGCTTCTTTTGCGAAACTATACTTCATTGCATAGATCTGACGGACATACATGCTGAGCATTTGCAACAAATTGCAACTGAACAACGCCTCTCCCGGATTGCAGCAGCCGAAGGCTATGCTGGCAATGCTGGTCAGCCTCAGGCGTGCAACCAGAACAGCCCAACTCACCAACGCTGGGCGGCGAGGACAGTGGTGAAAATCTGAAAGCGTTCTCAAGACGGTCGCACTCGGAAACCAACGGGATCCCCAGCTGCGTGGAGACCTCTGCCTCAGAAGCGCGCGGCGCTCAACTCACACACCAATCCACGCGGC